AAAAAAGAAAGGGTGGCAGGTCGCACCGAGCGGACCTGACAATGTCCCCTTTACAGGACTCCAGGAGGTGACCAGCTGGACTCCGCACTAATTATCAACACACAGTCTTCCATTCCTCTTCCATCACGCCGAGATTCTTTGTCTTCTTTTTTGCACACCATTTTCTACCTCTTCCATTTTTATGTTTTGCACCTAACATGTTGCACCATACACACGCCATCCGTCCATTTGCATCAGTTGTATTCTGTTCATTTTTCTTCAAGTCAAAATTAGCATCCCTTTCACCTTCAGCCAGCCTACCGCTGTTTTAGGGGGCACGTTCACCAAATTTGCAACATGAGATCACATTCGCTCACGTTATTTTGACATTTTTGAAAGTCTCATGCTACCCAGGCATGACAATGTAAACTACAAATGTATCTGCAATTTGCAAGTGACAAACATGGTGAAACGTGATTCTGCCACCAGCTGCAATAAGCATGTAAACACTGCTTGCAGATACCATTTATAAAATGACTCCTGGATCATAGGCCAAGTTGCCAGCATCTCACTGAGCAGGTTGGAGGATGGCATGTCATTCATATTGATGAGTATAGCTGGGCCCTGTTCTAATACTCTGCTGTCTGCTGCCACAGTGCCAGAAAGTCCAATAAAGTTTATGCAATCTTTATTATCTTATCTTAATATGTAATATTTAAATGTTCATTGTAAGCATATTTTTGTGGTAATGCAGTAAATCTCACTCATCTGGTGCCCCAAGAAGGTGAAATATTTTGAATTGTTTCAGCCTAATGTTTGATTCAGGAAAAAGGAAGGGCACTGTACAGATAGAACAAAATGTGAGGAAAGGCAACATTTGATTCCCTGTCCGTCCTCTTTGGATACATCACACAGGCTCTACAAGGTAAACCAGATCTTCTGTGAGCTCACCTACTCTGATATCCCTGATAAACACAGATCTTGAGATTTCACCTACTGTACAGTATGTCCTGGTTTTCTTGAGTATCAGTCTGTCGAGGCAAGGTGCTTATTTCACTGCCTTTTTTAAACAGTTTCTTCTGTCAATCCCTAACTCATTGTTTCTCACAGTCACTGCCACCATCCCTAAATCTGACAGGATTCAGAAAGTCATTTCTGAAGTGTGGCTTCCACAATGTCATAGGAATAAACTCATTATATGTATTACGTGTCACACTTAGTTGTTGCGAGGCTTTTGTGGATTCACCCTTTGTGAACGGAGTCGTAGTCATTCCACACTGATTCTCTTGTGTTAGGAAAACAGAGTTCAGAGTTACTCTCACAACCTGTCTCTCACAGCAAAGTATAAAGGAGACCCACGGCTCAGTAACTCATCACGAACCAGCGCATACGCACTCGCTCGCACACTCTCCCCACACACCTAATGCAGTGGAAATAATTGCTCCAACTGCTGCCCCACACACACACACACACATACACACACAAGAGCGAGGCCCCATGCTTTTTAATTGATGCTTCGGTCCACCTTTGATGAGAGCTATCGATTGGCCACACAACCCCAGGAGCGCAGTCGGCCAGCACATGCCTCGTGGAGTTCAAACAGCTCCCCGAGAAATACAGAATCCAACAATCACTAGGACGACCAAATTGTTTAGAGATAGCCAGCACAGAAAGCGTGTTA